AGCTCCCAGCACCGGGACACAGCACGAGGCTTTGCTTTCTGCACCAGCTGCCTTTCAGCCAGAGAGTAGCAGCCACCCATCCACCTTCATCATTTTATTTTATTTTATTTTTTTTGCCACCGGTGTCATAAATAACTGACAGATCCCAGCTGTTTGGAGTTATGGTTTCTGATGGAGTGACAGCTGCTCCCAATCCCCCAGTCATCACCCCGGCAGTTCTGGAACATTTCAGCAACATAAAAATCATTGGAGATAATTTCGGTTTTGCATAATTTGGTTAGGCAAGCTGTGATTTAATGGCAATTATGACCTCCGAGGCAGAAGATGAGCTTGGAGGCTACTGGCTTCACATGACTTTAGCTCGGGGTGCAGCATCAGGGATGTTCCAGGGAGATGGCACTACAAGGAAAAAAAACCTTCTCCAGCAGCTGGAAATTGCCTTCCTTGGCTGGCAAGTGGAAACACTGTTCCCACAGGAAGAAGCATACAAGGAAATTTGGAAGGAATAGTACTAAGGAAAGCTTTGGGAAGAGACCGGTGCCAAAAGATACATCAGGAGGTAACTTTTAAAGAAAAGCCAGGAAAAGGCTGTCGACTGGGAAGTGCCTTTGCAAACCCTTCTGTGTCACCAGTATCTCGTGTGTTAACTGGTACAAATGTCCTCTTGGTCGCCCTGAAAGCAAATCCTCCTCCTGTGACTGAGATGGGAAAGCTGGAAGCAGGAACGTGGCCTTTGCAGGCAGCTGCCTGCTCTGGGCCCTGCCCTTTGCTCTCCCCTCTGCCAGGGTTTCTCCTGCTCTGGGCTGTGTTGCCTCCTCTCCCTGGGTGCTCTTCACCCATCCCAGAGCCCCTTGGTTTGCATTTCTCCAGCTGTGACTGGAAGGAGCAAACCCTTGGGCAGCCAAGCTGTGCTGGGAGGTCAGCTGAGGATGGAGAGCCTTGCTCAGGAGCTCTGGGGACATCCTGGTGTTTCTGGCTGGGGGCAAAACACGGCTTAACAGCAGGAACAACTTTTGTTTGGAGCTGAGAAGGTCCAATTTCCCCACTCCATCATGGCTGTCAACCAGCTTGGGGCTTGCTGTGAGCACAAGGTCAGGGTGGGTACCTGGGCCCAGCAGCACCCCAAAATCAAGTCCTTTAAGGTGTTGCAACTTCAATCTACATTTGCTGACCTGGTAACTGGAGCTGTTCACCTTCCCCCACCAAAGTCAAGGCCAAGGTCACCTGGAAGTTTCTGGATGGTGGTCATTAACTCCTATTGCAGTTTGAAACCAGACCATAAATTTCATAGTGTAATAATGTAAAAATCAATAACTCTGTTTGAAACAATAGCTTTGTCTTCCATTTCAGCCAGCTCTGATATCTCCCCACGGACCACGTCCCTCTGAATCACACAAATAAAGAGAGAGGAGCGATGGGTGGCTGGGCTGCTGCTCCCCTGCCAGGTGCCCAGGCCCTCCATAGTTACAGATTCAATTAGTTCATTTATTCCTCTCTTGCAGTTAAACTCGAGGATGATTTAACAGGAAAAAAATAAGGAGCCTTTTATGCTCAGTCTCTCTGACATCCCGTCCAACACAGCGTCCCTGAGGCTTTCCATGTGAGAGCTGCCCAAGCCCCTGCTCTCTATTGCCATGGGCAGCAGGGCCAAAACCCAAAATACTTCTGGAAAGATGCAGAACTAACTCACATGGGCAAAAAATAATGAAAGTCCGCTCTTTTCCAGCTCTGGCTTTCTGGGAGAGGGAGGTCTGGCTTCCTTTGCTTGCTTATTTTCCGTTGTTTGCTGTAGCACTGGCTCAAAATATACATCGAGAAGCAGGATTGTCTTTCACATGTTGGTGGATGTGTGATCCTCAAAAACAAATTAGCACCGATTCACTTCTATATAGAGTGCAGCCGTCAGGGAATCACTCCTGAATTCACAGCGAAGGAAAGTAATAATGCTTCCAGCGTGCTAATCCTCTCCAAGAGCAGCCCCTGAACTCTCTCCTGGTGCTGGAGGCACCACTGGAAATTACAATTGTACTGAAAAAATAATAAATAAATACAGAAATTGGCAGGGTTTGTGCTAGTCCAGAGGATTTGTACCCTAATGTGGAACTCCCTGTTTAATTAGCACTCCTCTCTGTCTGCATCTCCTCCTCCTGCTCTCAAGCTAGAGAAAAAGGGGGAGAAAAAGAGGTCAATGGTGGAAGTGGCTGTGGGATTGAAACTCGGCTATAGAAACTTGTTTAATTTAAATGCTTCTTTCAGGACTAACACATGCAGAAGCAGAGGGAGTGTAGAGTGTGTTTTCCCAGTATAATCTGCTCTGCTTAACCCCAGTTTTGAGCACACCTTCCACGGCAGGGATGCCCTTGGTGGAAAACTGCAGTGGGATGCTGCTGGTCCTGTAGCTGCAGGGACAGGGAGCAACCCCAGCACCTCAGCTTTGGGAGAAGGCTGCTTAAATCTGAGGCTGCTTGCAGCAGCTGGAGACAGATCACTGGGATGGGATGGGATGGGATGTTATTAAGGGCACTGTCCAAATGCCTCTGGAATACTGACAGGCTTGGGGCATCAGCCACCTCCCCAGGAAAGCTGTTCCAGGGTCTGACCACCCTCTCAGTGAAGAAATGCTTCCTAATGTCCAGTCTAAACCTCCCTTGGTGCAACCATTCCCACCTGTCCTGGGCCTGGACATCGGGGAGACAGACGTTCCTCTTTTCCTGGGTCTCTTTTCCCTGCTGCTGCAGGGTTTATTGTGGCCCTGTGTCTCACCCCACTGTGCATCTCAAAAGCCACTGGGACCTTTTTGGAGTGCAGGAATGCTGGGGGGAAAAGCACACCTCTCTGTGAATGGATGAGTGAAATCCTTGGGTCCTGCTGTGGCTGGAGTTGTCAATGGACACCAGGATGCTGCTGCTTCTCCAGGAGAGAATGGCATGGAGCAGGAAACACCCTGAGCAGGATTCCAGGCATGGATAGGGGTTTCACCAGCTACTGGCACTGATGTCCTGACCCCCATCAGGCACCAGACATCCTCTGCTGGTCCCCAGGACAGGACAGGGCTCGGCAGGACTTGCCAGCAGCCTGCAGTGAAGCCGGGATAGAATTTGGCAAAGGACAGGGAGATCTCGAGGTCCTTGGGAAGGGACTAATAATTCCAATTGCCCCCAAGGAAAGAGAAATACGGGAGGATGACTTGAGCTTAGTGGATTGTCTGAGGCGTCTCAGGGGATCATCAGATACTTCCACTCCCTTTTTGTCCTGAGGTGACAAGTTTTCCTTCCCATTCACAGAAATGCAAAGCAGTTCATTCACAGCAGTAATAAGAACGATGTCCTTTGTAAAACAGCCGGGGAGTGAACCCTTCGAGGTGCTTTACAGCAAAACAATTGCAGATGAAATGACAAAACCCACCCCAGCTGAGCACCAGCCAGATCGGTATCAAACGCTGAACAAGCTCATGTGTGGAGAAAGCAGATTCACCAGCTCGTTTCTCTGCCAGCAGCTGGCCAGGAGCTAGGAGGGTTTCTTTAGCATCAGAAATACAGCCAAACCAGGGCAAATATGAGATGGAAGAGCGAAGTGACAGCTGCCCGGGCTCTCAGAGCACGCTCGGCTGCCCCATCCAGCCCACATCCAGGGGAGATGGAAGCACTGGAGGCTGTGGAAAAATGGGGATGCTCTGGCTGGATCTGTACCTGGCTGGAGCTGGGAGCGGACAGAGACGTGACACAGGGAGGCAGAGATGGTTTCATGCCAGTATGGCTAATAAGGGAGGGCATTAGTCCTATAAACTTGTAATCCTGCTGAGGTCCCGACCCCAGCAGTGTCCTGTGCCAGCGAGATCCACAAGCAAATTCTGTACCGTGCCGCATGGGCTCCCTTTCATCATCCACTTTCAGCCTTTCTGCATTTGAGATTTACTGGATGTCCTTGTGTTTGGTGGAGAAGAGGGCAAATTGGAGCTTGTCATGTACCTTCTCCCTCATTCAGCAGCACATCATTCTGCCTGCAGCAGGGGGGAAGGAGACGGACGGGCATGCATCAAAGCTGCCGGCTCTGTCACATTTTCTTCCCCCCAACCAAAAAAGAAGTGTTGGCGTCATTTGGAGCCCAGCCCACAGCCTCAGGTCTCTCTCCCACACCCAAAAAGGGCAGCAGCGCCTTTCCCTGTGCCCTTGGTCTCCTCTCAGGGCAATGCCACCAGCCCTCCAAGCGAACATCCCTGCGGGTCACCAGCCGAGAGAGCGCCGCAGATCCCAGCAAAACCCCATCCCCAGCGGAGACGTGAGCCAGCACGCTGGGTCATGAGAACAGCTGCCTTTCAGACACCTCTCCTGTGCTTTGCACTGAACTTTTTACCAGCTCATGAAAAAGGCAGTGATAAAAGCAGAGCAGTGTGAATAGCTGAGCTGTGCTGCTCCTCTGCCCGGCATCCGGGGCTGTTGGGAGGTTTAATGAGCTGGTAGGAAATGCCATGTGCCCAGTTGGATGTTGGGCATTGTCACTCTCCCACACAGCTCTTGGGGTGTGTGGGGATGTGGGGGACCTGAGGGCTGAGCTTGGCTTTTTCTCCCCTGAAATCTGAATGTTTGGAACAGTTGGGTGCCGGGAATTGATGCGCAAGCGATGAACGTGGTCAGGACATGGCACTCTGCTAATATCCTGCTTTGTCTAGCTCCAGTGCCGGTATTCCATCCCAAAATATCCCCCAAACATCCCTCCGGGAGTGGACTTTGTGGAGATGCTGCACATCCCCCAGCACCACGCAAGTGCCTGCATTAAAAGCTTAATAAAAATAGCTTTGATAACGGGATGTGTTCCCATCACCGGCAGCTCTCGAGCCCGCCACCGATCCCTGCTCCTCCACCACAGTAAGGCCAAGCAATTATGGGCTACAAGGTCTTGACAGTCTAATTTCTATTAATTACAGCCTGGATAGCATCCTGTCACTGTGGAAAGGGGAGATGGGGAGATGGGAAATGGTTGCAGAGGCGGGAAGGTTGGTGATGCCGACTGGCAGCAGCCAAAACATCCGGGCTGGCCACGGCAAGGAGGGGTTTATGGTGAGAAGCAACAGGTTGGGCTGCATGGAGTGATAGGGATGTTCTACCCTCCTCCTCCTCCTCCTCCTGTTGTGTTGCTCGAATGCACGTTTTGCAAAGTTAAAACAAATCGCAAAGAGCAGAAATCGGCAGTTTTAAGGGAAAAGAAAACAAAAATAAGATCTTGGCAGAAGGATAAAGGCAGGCAACTGAAATGCTCATTAAAACTGAGGGGCCCCTTTTCCCTGTCCAAGTGGCCACATCTCTGGAGGCTCCCAGATCCTTTGAAATGCCTTGTCAGACAAAGTCTTTCATCCTACCTGATTCTGGCTAAATTCATGGACCCAGAAATTTTCACTGGAAGCGTGAAAGACAGAGCAACTCCATTCTGACTTTTCACTTCCCATCTGATCGCTGTTGATACAATTTATTCCTATGACAGCATCTGCTGCTTTCATGGGTTTTTTATTCTGCAGTACAACTCGTCTTTGTTAGTCCCATTTTCAGGCCTTTCATCATTTGAGTCACAACATAAAAGGCATTTAAACATTCCTGCTTGGAAACCAGGCTGGGAGAGGGGTGGGAGCAAGGAGATACCATGGTGTCCCCAGTCCCAGCCGTCCTCTGGCATGGGATGAGTTGTCCTGATGTGCCACAACCCTTTCATGCTCCCACGTGCCTCCTGCCAAGGATGGCAGCGATGGTGATGCTGTGGCTCCATTTTGGGGTGGTGCTGTGAAATCCAGATGTGCTTTGAGGTGTAGAGCCCTGCAGAGCATGACTCTGTTGGGGCAGCATCTCTCTTACCTACCACTGACCCAAGGAGTGTTTCCAGGGGCTCTGTGCCCTCCTCATCGGCCAAACCTCTCATTAGACAATTAATTAATTGCCTATTGCTCTGCAGTTCCAGACCAGGCTGTGGTGCTCAGCTCTCCATGTCCCCGTGCTGGGGGGCTCTGCCACCCCTCACTGCCACCCCTCTGAACTCACCAGGGACCCTTGTCCCCATCAGTGCCAGCAGATCCCGCTCTGCCCTGGCATCTGCCGAGCTGCTGGAGGCACTGGGGAGTTCAGAGCTACCCACAGAAAACTGGAGTCTAATAATAGCTGTGTGGTGTTGCACCAGCAGAGAGCTGGAGCAGCTACGTCCGGCAGGGAGAGACCACCGCTGGCTGCCTGCGCCTGCCCGGGCTCTGCCTGCTCAGCTGGAAGAACAACGCCTTTCCCGGGATCCTCCTCCCCTGCAGCCCCCCCTGCAGCTGAAGGACCACTCTCCACATCTCAAGGATTCCCTGCCACAGCAGCGTGGCTCACACCATCCCCAAACCCCTCCCCGTGCACATGGGGCACGGGGCTCCACGCCTGTGACAGGGTTTGGACTATGTGGAAAAGCCACTGGGGACACAGAACGGGCAGGAGTCACCCACCACACCCCTGGATGAGCGTCCCTGGGATGTGGTGGCCTGTCCCCTCCTCCTACTTTAATTCCCCTGCCGTATTTTCCACTCCAGCAGGCATCGCTGGCACCTGAGCATCCCCCAGCACCATCCCTCATCCCACCTGGTGTCTCCTGCCCTGGATGCCATCCCTCGTCCCCCAGCTCCCAGGAAAGTGAGCACAGCTGGAAACTGCGCTGCTGCTTATTGGAATAACCTTTCAGGATTCATTTAGTGCTGCTTGCTTCCACCCCACCTTTCCATCGTCAGCACTTTACTAATTACAACTTTTAACTCGTTGTGCCCAGGCAGCCTGAGAGCAGCTGCTGCTGTGAGGAACGGGGTCCCTCTGTCCCCCACCTCTCCTTCCTCCTCAAATAAAGGGTCAACCTGGTGAAACGTGAGCACCACGCTCACCCCAGCCTGCGTGGCCCCACTCCTGCTCCCAGCCCACCCCACAAGCTTCTTGCTTTGGGGGAAAGATCATCCCAGAAGACCACAAATCCCAGGCAAAATCCCAGCCATCACCTGGCAGCATAAATCAGTGCATGGCTGGGCAGGGAAGAGGCGAGAGATCCCGATGGCTATCAGAGCACTGTCTGCCTGAGACTTATTAAATTATGGCTCTCGAGTTCAGCATCTGAGCCCGGCGCGCCGGGGACCGGGCGGGAGGGGGTGGGTTACAGCCCCCTAATCCAATCATGGGGCAGAGGCGATGGTGCAGCTGGTGGGGAAGGAGAGCTGTCGCTGTCCACACAGAGAGAACGAGACCTCCACAGCCTCCCTGGATGGCTCTGCACACTGACCCCTCACAGCTGCATCTCCCAAGGCACTGGGAATGGCTCTGTGTCCCTGTTAAGGGCTGGGGTCAGGTCTCGTGCTGGTGTGGCATTGGTGCCACCACACAGGATTGCACTGATCCAAGGCCACCTGCACTGAAAGGTGGGATGCTGCCAGCTCTGCTGCCACTCTGCTTTCTGTCCAAAGAGAAAATGAGCCAAGAAACTACATTTTCAGGAAAGTGAGGTGCTTTTTACGTAAGTGCAAGAGCAGGGTAGGAGGAGGATGAGATGCTGTTTCCCAGCTGACACCATGAACCAGCGAGTGTGACTAAAACTTGGGAATGCTTCGCACAGGGGTTCAGGCACTGTGGTGATACCCAGAGCACTGAAACCTCAGCAGCTGCCCAGGGAGACGAGGACAGAGGGACACAATCAGGTAGGAAAGACAGGAGAGAGCTGGGTAGGCAGATGCTTTCCCTGAAAGCATTTCCAAGGTCAACGCTTAAAAGTGGAGCAGAGAGAGCATTTGGCTCAGCCAAGGGAGCGGGACCACGCCGGGATGCTCAGTGGGAGGCAGACGAACGCCCAGCTCCCACACCAGCACGGAATTACCCAGCTGAGGGCTAAGTGAGACACCCAGACAAGGTCACGGTCCCACCGGAGCGGCGCGGGCAGCGAGGGAGCTCCGGCTGCGCCGGCTCCTGCCTCCACGGCAGCAAATTCAATCGTGGCGAATAACAGAGTGGAACAAAATCCAGCAATGCAATAAAATCTCCCGGCGCCTTGTCCACCTGAAGCCTGAGCAGCTGGGGCTTGCACAGGAGGTGACACGGGCAACCTCGTGTCTGGGGAGGGTTTGAAACGGCCCTTGGTGAGCTTCCAACGGGGGACAGTTCATCCCGAGGCTCACGGGAAGAGGGGCACAGCCGGATTTCTGAGCAAGGGAGAGCTGCTGATTCCTTAAGAAGCGGGGAGGTGAAATCCAATTGTGCAGCATCCACGGCTGCCATTAACCTGTCTGTGTACTCCCGCGGCCGCCCATCCCTCTCCGCCTGACAGCAGCCGGGGCTGCCCGGCACACGCTGCCCCGGCTGCCCGGGGATTTGTGGCTGCCTGCTGCAGCGGCACACAGCCCTGCTGCAGGCTTTTCTCCGCTGCTTCCAAAATGGAGCGCTGGCTAAACGTTCCCTGGTGAGCTGGGGAGCCGCAGAACCGATTCCTGGAGAAGGAGAAACGGTGGCAGCGTGGGATGGGCGGCTACAGGAGGAGCTGCTGGGACAAACCACAGCTCCAAACTGAGGGCAGGAAAGGTAAAGGCATCGGGCTGCCCTGGAGGAGGATCCTTAGGACATTCCTTGGGAATACCCCTTGGGCATCCAGCTTGTAGTGCCATCTCCATCAAGTGAGCCTTTACATCCTGGGGTCGTAATGGCAACTTTTGGAAGAGCAGATGGGTTTGTGCCAGGGTAGCATGTTCCTGGAGGAGGCAGCCAGGTGGGCATTAGAGGGGTCTGCACTGCCAGACATTCAGCTGGAGCCCCCTCAGATGTGCCAGCAGTGGCTGACAGGGGGAAAAGGCAGGATCTGGACTTGCTTTGCCCAGCCCCACACTCTTCCTGGCCTGTGGGGAGGCTGAGAGCAGGCTGGTGGAGAAGGGAAAGGAGAGGAGAGGTGGGGAGCAGGGAGGAGGTGCAGCCAGCCCCACCAACCACCTCGCCTCTCTGCATCCCAGTTCCATTTGCAGATTTATTAAATCGAGAGCCAATTCCGACATAATTTCTTTCAAGCAGCTCCACCTCGCAGGTGTGCGGAATTTATTTGAGATAAAGAAAACCATTACAGAGAGACAGCAATCTTCAAAGACCACCTCAGAGACCTGAGAGAAATAAAAACACTAGCCCGTGCAAATGTGCAATTAAGTTTCAGAATACTCCTGCTCCATGAAAAGCTCCGTCCCTGCAGAGAACAGGCCTTTAAGGCAATTTTCCCAAACCCTATTCAGCATTCAGTCAAAAAAGCCTTTTTAAAACAACATGTGATTTTTTTTTTTTCCCCTCCCTGCCTCACTCCTCCTCCTCCTCCTCCTCCCTGCACTCGCTCCATCACTTCCAGGTGGGACACAGATAGCTCTGCTGGGGATGTGGTTCCTCCCCATTTGGAGGGGGACACGAGGCACAGGAGGGGTCCCATCCACACAGGCACAGCTCTGTCACAACCTCCACTCATGTCAGATCCAAAACCCAGGAATTTTTAGAGCTAGTCCTGTTATTCAAGGAGACCATGACACCGGCATGGCCCCGCCTGGGGACAATTTGCCAACTATTCCCAGTTGAAGGATCTTCATATCCCTTATTCATGGGTCATTCTCTGCTTGGTGATTAATTAAAAATGCATAATTAACCTGTGGAACGCACTGCCATGAGGTATCAGGGAGGCCAGGAGCTTAGCAGGATTCGGGGGAGGATTATATGTTTAAATGGATAATGAGAACATCTGGTGGTACATTAACAGGGATGAAGGAGAATTAGGGAGAAGAGCTTGGCTTGCCGCCGGCACAGGGTGCAGGAGGGCAACCACGGGGCTGGCTCAAGGAGGGCACTGCTGGTCCAGCCCCAAGCTTAGCAGACTCACCAATGCACTCCTGCACCCTTGGGAAGGTGATTTTGGCAATGAGTGGGTGTGTCTGGGGATGAGGCAGTGACAGAGGTGTCACCACAGGGCTGGTTGCCTTCGGGTTGGAGGTGGCTACCTGGGACAGCGGGATGGTCACAGTGCTGCCAGCTCCTTGCCAGAACACCCAACC